AGCGGCGCGGACTGGGCGGTGGTGGAAGTGGGGCTGGGCGGCCGTTTGGACGCGACGGCGATTTGCGCCCCCAAGTGCGCTGTGGTGGTCTCTTTGGGTCCGTTTTTGCTGCTTTTTTTTGCAGTTTGCTGCTGCTGTTTGGGGACAGCCAACTGTCTCCTTTGCTGCTGCTTGTCTCCTTTTTTTTCTCCTCTTTTCGCGCTTTTTTTCCACTTTTTTTCGCTTTTTTTCGATGTTTTTCGACTTTTTGGCTCTTTTTTGGCTCTTTTTTGTCTCCTTTTTGGCTCCTTTTTGTCTCCTTTTTGGTTCCTTTTTGTCTCTTTTTTGTCTGCGTTTTGTCTCCTTTTTGTCCCCTTTTTGCCGCCCTTTTGTTCCCTCTTTGTTGCCCTTTTTGGCTCTTTTTTGGCTACTTTTTGGCTACTTTTTGTCTCTTTTTTGGCTCTTTTTTGGCTCTTTTTTGTCTCCCTTTTGTTCCCTCTTTGTTACTCTTTTTGTCTCTTTTTTGTCTCTCTTTTGTCTCCTTTTTGTCTCCCTTTTGTTCCCTCTTTGTCTCCTCCTTATCTCGTTTTTTTTTCCGTTTTTTTCGCTTTTTTTGTCCCTTTTTTGTCTCTTGCTGTCTCCTGTGGGGCGCCTTGCGTGTCTCCTTTTTGTCTCCTTTTTGTTTCTTTTTTGGCCTTTTTTGTCTTTTTTTTGTTTCTTTTTTGGCCTTTTTTTCCTCCTTTCTGTCTCCTTTTTGTCTCCTTTTTATCTCTTTTTTGTCCCCTTTTTATCTCTTTTTTGTCTCCTTTTTGTCCTTTTTTTGTCTCCTTTTTGTCTCTTTTTCGTCTCCTTTTTGTCTCCTTTTTTGTTCGTTTTTTTCTCTCTTTTTTGTCTCCTTTTTATCTTCTTTTTTGTCTCCTTTTTATCTCCTTTTTGTCTCTTTTTTGTCTCCTTTTTGTATTCTTTTTATCTCCTTTTCGTCTCTTTTTTGTCTCCTTTTTTGTATTCTTTTTGTCTCCTTTTTGTATTCTTTTCGTCCCTTTTTTTGTCTCCTTTTGTCTCCTTTTTTTGCACCTTTGGCCCCGTTTTGCTGCTGCTGCTGCTGCTGCTGCTGCTGCTGCTGCTGCTGCAGTTGCTGCAGTTGCTGCTGCTGACACTTCTTTGATTTCCTCTCTTTTGTCTCTTTGTTGCTGCTGCTTCTATTCCTGCCTTTTGCTGCTGCTGCTGCTGCTTCTGTTCCTGCCTTTTGCTGCTGCTGCTGCTGCTGCTGCTGCTGCTGCTGCTGCTGCTTCTATTGCTGCCTTTTGCTGCTGCTGCTGCTGCCTCTTTCCTGCTGCTGCTGCCTTGCTGCTCTCTTGCTGCTGCTGCTGCTGCTCTCTCTTGCTGCTGCTGCTGCTCTCTTGCTGCTGCTGCTGCTGCTGGTCTGACCACTCCATTTCTCCCTAATTGCTCAATTTATCCTCCTTAATTAATTAATTAATTAATTAATTAATTAATTTATTTATTTATTTATTTATTTATTTATTTATTTATTTATTTATTTATTTATTTATTTATTTATTTATTTGAAGGCTACGACCACATGCAGATCTTGGGAAACACTTTGGAGGAAATCGCCGAAGAGAAATCCCACATCATCAAAAAGGGCGCCGCTGTTGTCTTGGGTACTTTTTTATTTTTTATTTTATTTTAATTATTTATTTATTAATTATTTATTTATTTATTTATTTATTTATTTATTTATTTATTATTTATTATTTATTTATTTATTCGTTTTATTTGTTTATTTGTTTTATTTATTTATTTATTTGTTTATTTTGTGTATTTGTTTATTTGTTTGTTTTTCTGTTTATCTGCTTGCTTGCTTGTTCATCTTGTTTGTTTGTTTATTTTGTCCTCTTTATTATTTCTTTAATTAATTAATTAATTAATTAATTAATTAATTAATTAATTAATTAATTAATTAATTAATTAATTTTTATTTATTTGTTTGTTTGTTTGTTTGTTTGTTTGTTTGCTTATGCGTTTGTTTATTTGTTGCTTCATTTGTTTGTTTTTGTTTGTTATTTTTTTGTTTGTTTCAATTCATTTAATTAACTAATTAATCAGTTAATAAATAAATAAATAAATAAATAAATAAATATATAAATAATTAAATAAATAAATAATGGAAATTGCTTTTTCATAAGTATTCTGTCTCTGTCTCCGTTTTGTCTCTTCATTTTTTCGTTTATTGATTTTCTTTTTTTCTTTTCTCTTTTGACTTCATTTTAATCGCTTTTTGATTTATCTTTTTGCCTTTATTTTGTCTCCGTTTGTCTCCTTTTTTATTTCTTTTTTATTTCTTTTTTATTTCTTTTTTTTATTTCTTTTTTTATTTTTACTTTTATTTTTTGTCTCCTTTTTTGTCCCTCTTCTAGGCCCTCCTGCAGCATCTTTTCTGTCTTTTCTTTTCATTTTTTCTTTTTTCTTTTTTCCTTTTATTCTCTTATTCTTTTTTCTTTTTTCTTTTTTCTTTTTTTCTTTTTTTCTTTTTTTCTTTCTTTATTCTCCTGTCTCTTTTTTATTGTATTTAAGTGTCTCCTTCTGTCTCTTTTTCCCTCTTTTTTTTCTTTTTTTGTTTTCTTTTTGTCCCTTTTTGGGGCCTTTTGAAGTCATATTTCGCTCAATTTTTGTGCTATTTGTCTGCTTTTTCGTCCATCTTCCTCCTTGCAACCTTGCGCATCTTTCTGTCTCCTTTTCGGCGGTTCAAACTGTCTCCTTTTGTCTCCTTTTGTCCCTTTTAGGCCCTTCCGCAGCAGCTTTTCCGGTCTTTTGGCAGCGCGCTGCGGCGCTGCAGTGCGAAGTTTGGGAGGCCAAAGGAGACCCTCGAGGAGACACTTTTCAGGCCGAAAACGCCAACATCGCGCAGTCCGTTTTCCGCGTTTTCGCCGATTTGCGTCGAATTTAACTCCAATTTAAACGCAATTTTCGCAAAATGGATCTCCAATTCATCTTTAGTTCAATTCGTTGCTTCAATTGCTTCAAAACGCAATTAAAATCAGCCCAAAATCTCCAAAATTGACCGAAAAACAAAAAAAACAAAAGTGCAGCGAATGGCGAGAAGTTGCAGTTTTAAAAATAATAAAATTAAATAAAATAAATAAAAATAAATAAAAATAAAAACAAATAAAAATAAATAATAAATAAATAAATAATAATAAATAACTAATTAATGATAATAATAAATTTATTATTATTTAATAATAAATAATAAATTAATTAAAATGGTATTACAGAGTGTGGCAATTGTAGTCATCACAGGGGCGCTGCCGCTGGAAGCCGCAAACCCTAAACCCTAAACCCTAAACCCTAAACCCTAAACCCTAAACCCTAATTCGTTGTTTGCGTTCAGGGTGGTGGCGCAGCACGTCTTGAGACTCGATTTGGCCCCCAACGAATTGGCAGCAGCTCTTGCTGCTGTCCCCCCGCTGAGGGGACAGTGGCTGGACGAGCAGCAGCTGCGTGCTGCAGCACGACTCTGCAGCAGCAGCAGCAGCAGCAGCAGCAGCAGCAGCAGCAACAGCAGCAGCAGCAGCAGCAGCAGCAACGGGTACGAGCCAGCGGCGGCAAGCGCTGCTTCAGCTGCAGGCGCAGCAGACGGAGTTGCACCAGCAGCGCTCAAAACTCCTGCTGCTGCTGCTGCAGCAGCAGGAACACCAGCAGCAGCAGCAGCAGCAGCAGCAGCAGCAGCAGCAGTTCAACTGCCTGTTCCTCTGGGCGTTGTGGTAGATGTGGGCCACAACGAATCCGCCCTAGATAGACTGTTCCAGGTAGCTGCTGCTGCTGCTGCTGTTGCTGCTGCTGCTGCTGTTGCTGCTGCTGCTGCTGTTGCTGCTGCTGCTGCTGTTGCTGCTGCTGCTGCTGTTGCTGCTGCTGCTGTTGCTGCTGCTGCGGTCTCCAGCATGTCGGCTGTCGCCCAGAATAGGGTTTTTTCTGAGTGTCTCCTTTAACTTTTTAATTTTTAATTTTTAATTTTATTTTTAATTTTTTTTTAAATTTTAATTCTTTTAATTTCCTTTTTTCTCCTTTTTCTGCCCAAATATATCCCCATTTGTCCCCTCTTTTCGCTTCCAACTGTCTCCTTTTCCCTTTTATTTTATTTCATTTTTATTTTATTTTTATTTTTATTTTTATTTCATTTTTTATTTTTATTTTTTTATTTCCTTTTTGTCTCCTTTTGTCTCCTCCGCGCTGCAGCCCCCAGGGCCGCTGCAGCGCAGCTCTTCGCGTGTCTCTTTTTGTCTCTTTTTGTTCTTTTTTTTTCTTTTTTTGTCCATTTTTTGTCTCTTTTCTTCCGCTTTTTTCCTCCAAACTCTCCCCACAATTCCCTTTCCAACTGTCTCCTTTTTGTCTCCTTTTTGTCTCCTTTTTGTCTCCTTTTTGTCCTTTTTAAATTCCATTTTGTCTCCTTTTGCTGCCTCAATCCCCTTTTTCGCAAGCCCGGAACCCCGTCTGCAGCTGCAGCTCTCAGTGTCCCCTTTTGTCCCTTTTTGTCGCTTTTTTGTCTCCTTTTCTCCTTTTTTTTCTCCTGCAAACCCCCATTAGATTCTCCATTTAATTCCCCTCAAAACTGTCTCCTTTCCGCTGTTTTTGGTCCCCTTTTTGTCTCCTTTTCATCTTTTTTCTGTCCCCTTTTTCGCCCTTTTCAGGAAGTCGGCCGCCGCCACTTCGGGGCCCCCGTGCGCCTCTTCGGGTGTCTCTCCACCGAAAGAAACCCTCAAGTCCTCCAGCCCCTTTTGGGGCACTTTTGTTTTCCCCTCAACAACCGCCTCCAAGTCCAAACCCTAAACCCTAAACCCTAAACCCTAAACCCTAAACCCTAAACCCTAGGCCCTGCGGGCCCAACACGCCTGCGCCCCAAAGCCCAAACCCTAGCTCCTCCTCCAGCCCCTTTTGGGGCACTTTTGTTTTCCCCTCAACAACCGCCTCCAAGTCCAAACCCTAAACCCTAAACCCTAAACCCTAAACCCTAAACCCTA